ATGGATTATATTTTTGGAGATGAAAACAAATTAAGAAATAATTTTATCTCTTTCCCGGAAGATTAAATGTGAACGAACTTGTAACGCATCAGATGTACGATTAAGGCAGGAGTTATGAAAACAAATCCCGACATCAGTGGACTGGGTTGTGCTTTTTGCAGACGAAAACAAATTGGGAAATTTAAATGAGAACGGAAATTTAAATGTGAAAGAACTTCTTTTCTTGAGAGTCAAATGTCCGATGGGACGGAAGTTATGAAAAAAAAAAAAGTCAGTGGCCTGGTTTATGTTTCCGCTGGACAAAGATAATTCCAGGAAAACAGAAAAGATTCAGAGAATTAAAATTAATGACTAGAATAAAATTACGCTCTTTGACCTCCGCGCTTTAAAAATTAGATCTGCCACAAAGACAGCTATGCCTGCCCTGGAAAGTAGGCTTAGGTTGAATGCTGAGAGGGAAGGAGGAAGAGGGAGAAACTAACACTATGTGTATGGGGGTGATCGTATGAGATGTAAATGGCAGCAAGTTGGAACTGAAGGGAGGGGCAATCCCTGCAACTACTCCCAAAGAAGGTGGATAATTCCCCGGATTTGGAAAGTTGATTAAGAAAGCAGAAATAGGGAACAAAGAACCCCTGTTGGGGTTAATGTGAAAATTTGGAGATCGCCGAATCGCCAGAACCCTTCAGCTCCATGCAGATTTAGCCCTGTGGTTAAAACGCCATCCTAAGACCCAGAGGACCGGATCACCAAACGTAGTTAAACCACCGAGTGTAGTCGGCGGTAATATAACTGTAGTGAGTACGAAATAATAACTCCCTTTACCCACTCCTTTCAAATTTGGGTGAACTAAGGGAAAAGACGGAAAGAAATTCGTGAGGCTATGTGAAATTTTCTTTGGACCAATGAAAACCTTGTCTTCACAAAGATTGGCCGGCGAGCTGAGAAGAAAGAAAAGAAAGTCGCGACCCTATACAAAATTCCTTTTTATATAAAATGTGGGGAAAATCTAAATTAAGAAGAGAAGAGTGTCTGAAGTCATGTGAAAGGTTTCGTTTCTGTTCACTGCGTCCGGCGTTAAAGTTTTCGCCAGTGTCAAATTACTCACCAGTTATATTATCGGTACGGGGTACTTCAAAGAATTTTCCTCCAACAATACAAGAAAGCTAAGTATTTCAAACTCTCTTCATCTACTATTGTAAGTCTGTAACTGTATATTCCTTTTATGAACAACGAACTTACTTTTGTTCTAAACATTGTTGAATATCATTTTGTACTAGATCATTTAATCTGTTTTATGAACAATGACAATTCGTTAAAACTACGGATTTTAAAAATTTGATTTATTTTCTTGAAACGAGCTACTGAGACAACTTCAAGCGTCTACATTCGTAAATATATTCCTTATCGTGTCTTGTTATGATTACCAGTGTGTTTCCTCGTCATTACCATCTTCTGTTCATCTTCTTGGTGTGGGTAAATCAACAGTTCATTTTAACCACTAACTCTAACGGGAACCTATCTACTACTTTACTTCGGATACTTAGTACTAATCGTTCTTCTTGGAATGTTTTATGTAATTCTTTTTCTGTTTTTATATGAATTCAAATAAATAACACCCTAATGAAAAGAAGTCTGGGAGAATTGGACGTCACAGGACATATTGAAGGCAAGCGGAACAGAAAGAAACAGCAAATAACCAACCTCGTGGAAATGGATGGCAGAACAGGGACTTGGAAGGATGGTGAGAAGAAAAAATCTTAGCGCTACAAAAAATGGTGGATATCCATGATCGCCCAAATCCTGAAGGGACATGTCATACTGGAGTTTCAAAAGACAACCCCTGCAAAAAACATTCTACTTATCTCCCTTTAATTTTATAATTTTTTTTTTTTTTTTTTTTTTTTTTTGTTTTTTTACTGGTAAAAAAGAAAATTTCTTTTTCTTTTTTACCAGCGAAGAATAAATTCTAAGGATTTCTTACTCTTGCGTATGCAACATACAACTGGCGTTGTGTAAATATTTCTTTCTGCAGCCAAATTCCAACATTTTTTTAATTGTTTGGCCTTGTGATTTATTTATAGTTCTTGCAGGGCAAACTGAATTCTTGTATATAAAAAGTTAAAGAAAAGATATTCAAAAAACAATATTGGATTTTTATTAAATAAATATTTATTTTAATCATTAAATTGTTTTTTAAATAATGCAAATATTTTGTATGTTAATTTTTTTCCAAAAAAATTATTGAAAATTTATTGTACTAAGCTATGCAACGTAATAAAACCAACTGTACTTTGCACCCCCTTACCTGTTTGAACTTCTCTCCAAAATTTTGTTTCGATCAGTCAATATATGGCTATTTCAGAGGGTGTGATGAACAGACTAATAGAAATCACAGAATTTTATATATCAATAGAAGAGAATTATTTTATGTTGACAATATGGATGAATATGTAGATTTTACTTATAAGTAGACAAAAAAGATTCCAATCAGTTTAAA